TCGCGTACCCGAGCATCGAAAAATCAAATGCCGAAAAAATTTCTGATTCAGACAGAGTGGGAGGGAGAGATCAAGACGGCGAGACGTTTCCATCGTGCACGCACATCGTGTGTTACGCACGTCGACGATCCGTCGTGTATGACGATATTACATATGTAGTAAGGTAAAAAATATATATGCGTACACGCGTACTGGCGGGTTTTTGATGATTATAACAACGTATTATATGTACGGCAGGCGATCATCTACATGAGCTACGTACTTGTTTGTACTCCGACAGGATAAGTGTGGCGGCGGGCAAAACTGCCGCCCCGTTATACCTCAGTCTCTCGAATGGGTTCCGCTGGCTAACAAACCACAAATTATAACCATCAGTCTCGGCACTCGCTTCTTTTTTTCACATCTTCGCTAATAAAACACTACTTTTTTCTTCAGCGCGCACAATTAGCAGCTCTTTTTTTACTTTTGCCGCGGATTGCATCGGCGTTCGCTAATGACCATCTCCATCGCGTTTTCTCCATTTTCGTGTCTAGTATATTTTTTGTATTGTGTGGGCGCGTGTGTGTGTGTATAGTGTATATATGTGTGTTATGTATGGAAGTGTGTATGTGTGAGTGTGAGAGAATAGATACGCGGGTGGATGTCTTCTTGTTTCTTTTCCCTCCTGTGCGCGTGTCGCACACGTGTCGACGAACATATTACCACGTGGTGCGCGGATCTCTCTCGTTTCTTAGTGTTTTTCACCGCTTCTCACGCTGCAAATCTTCTACAGAGGTAGAGAAAAGGCGATTTCTCCCTCTCGAACGAGAGCGAGAGAAAGAAAAAGAGAGAGAAGAAGAGAGCGAGAGAGAAAGTTTCGAAAGATCCAAGAGAGGAAAACCGAACGCGACTGAAGTCGTGGAACACGTCCAAGTGCACGTCGTCGTAGCGATTTGAGTGTCGCATTATTTATAACGATTCGAGATTCAAGATATTACAGGCGCTAAGTGAAAAAAACCACCGCTGGTCAGACACCATCTCCCATGGATGGCGAAAGTTCAAAAAGTAAGTAAAAGAAGTCTGTGAAGCAGTTGCTGATTTTTTTAACGTCAATCATCGTTAAACAATTGTCCCAGTATTCTTCTTTCAACTCGTCGAAAGAACAAGGATATTGAAGTAAATATCGCGAAATAGAATTCGCGAAATGTTAATCAAACGCAAACTAACTTGAACGTTAAGCTCGTCGGACCTCGGGGTATCCAGATGATTAGATCTTGACGGATTTTTCTCAGAGTCGAGCGACACTCTTATCGAGAACTGACGAGGCACTAAGATTCGTATTCGCCATCGGCTCCAGTCGTCCGAGCAGGTATCGAATCAGAGAGAGAAAGTTCAATCAGAACTCGAGTTAAAAATTTTGAGGAACTGATAACGCAGATAACACGTGTGCTGTCGATCGCCGACGCGTTTAAGTCGCGGATTCGAGTGAGCGGGAGTAGAGAGAAATTTCCATGTACCGTCTGTAAGAGGGATGTACGGGGAAAAGTTGTGTGAGACTCGATGAACGGTTATGCCGAATAATTACGAGAAACGCGCGATCGAGCGCGCACTCTCGCCGTATACGAACGCCGGTTTCGCAAAGAACAAAAATTTTGGCGGAGCGTCGCGCGTTTCGTTGTCCGAGCGAGTATGTTTGTCCCTCGCATCGGTACAGAACGCACAATGCAATATATATTGAATATACAGATATATATACATACACACTGTGCACGTTAAAGACGCACAATAATAAAAATACATGTCACACGCGCGCACATCGATATACAACGTACGGTAAATAACATCGCGTACATCACGTGTTAATCATCACAGCAATGCCCACACTGCAGTAATTAAAAAAAAAACAAAACAAAAGAAATGAGAGAGATAAAGAGGAAGCGAATGTACACGGCGCGTGTGTAGAGAATGACCGGCCGACTAAAGCGAGTCGTACGCCGGAAATGAAAGACAGAAAAAAAAAACGATGCTCACACAAGAAAGCGAAACACAGATCCAAAAAAAAAAGAAGACTTGTCCAGTGTATAATCCAGTGTGTTTGGTGGACCGTTCCTTGGAACGTTAGTTAACGTTAACCGAGGCTCAGCTGATCCTCCGTCTCCTCCCGGAGATCAAAGCAGAACCGGAAGTAAAGGCCGAACCTACAGCTGGACATAAAATCTGACTGGGAGTCACCGCAACCTCAGTCAACCCTTTAACTAACATTTCTGGGAACAGCGCGCTTGTATCGAGGAAACGGGTAGCACACACCGCGGTTAGCGCCGTACATCTCTGATCACGTCACTCCGAAAGCTGCGCGACTCGCCCGTGACTATTCGATTCCAGTCAGCTGACGAGCGCCTTGGAACGCGCCAAAACAAGAGGAAAAAAAAGAAGGCACATATACACGTACATGCAACACCTTAGTGGATGTAAACGAAAAAGAAAAACGAGGAGGGAAAGGGGAGCAAGGAAGAGAAAGAAGACGGGGGTAAGAATGAAAGAAAACGAAAAGACAGAGAAGATTAAACACGTAAGAAAGAAAAGAGTAGAGACGGTGGAGGGAGACAAGCGTATGACGGCAGCCAAAACGGTCGTAATCGTAATGTATATCCATCGAACGTCATAGCCATCAACGTGTCTCTCGCGGCAACAATAACAATAGCCAGTAATGGTCCGACCACGTGAAGTGGTGGCCGGCCGTTTATTTATTTTTTTCTTTTCTCGTTGTCACGCGTGAACGGGAGCGTGTTTCACCGAACATGCGCCCCATTAGTGTCTCGCTTGACAGAGGCATAGAGGACAGAGGAGCTGGTGACGTCAGGAGAAGCGATATACAATCGGATCGTATACGTGCGATCGTATTACGCGACACAGGATCCACAGAAAAAGAGATAGGAAGAAAGAAAGAGAGAGAGAGGCAGGTGCGGTGGTAATATAGAAAGAAAAAGAAAAAAAAGAGAGAGAGACAATAGGAACGATATAATTAGCTGCCGCAGTGACAATAATCATGGCGATGCAAATTGTTCGACGCCGATATATATATAATGGCTGCCGGTTTTCTGGTTTTCTTTTTTTTTTTATTTGTGGAGGATATAGTTTAGAATCAACCACAAAGACGGGTGTCGCATGTAATAATATATATATGTATTTATATATAATAAGCACACGGGCGAAAAATATTAATCGAAACTCGCAGTCCGCAAGCACTTACTTGTTAAACAAAATGCAGACATTGTGAGACGTGTGTAGAGAGACAGATAAGTAGTAGTAGTAGTAATAGTAGTAGTAGTAGTAGTAGAAGAGAGAGACAGAGATAGAGAGAAAGATAGAGAACACAAAAGGCAAAACTGAAAAGGTCTGCTTGTAGGAAATCATAGTACAATGGTACATATCGATCAAAAAAGTGTCGCAAAAAAAAGTCAGAATATATCAGAGGAACCAAAGAAAGACGATGAAAATATATACGTATATATAAATATAGAGAGAAACGGTTAATCAGATTATTATTTAACACGGTCAAACAATGATCAAACTTGCGGATGATAGTGGACTTGCGGACTAACCATGTAGTAATCCTGAGAAGGGGATCTGCCTGTCACAGATACATTCTGCACCAGAGTTCTATTGCTCGTCTGAAAGTAGGTGACACATCCAGTTTTACATCATTAGCTTCACGTGACATTCCATGGTAATTGTATTTTTCTTTTCTTGTCCTATCTCTTTTCTGTCTTTCTTAATCGTCTGTTCGATTTTCCGTTATGTTTTTTTTCTGTTCCCTTTCGGTTTTTTTTAATATTTTGGTTAAGCCGTTCTACATTAACGTGTGCTTCTCGTGATATTGAACACTTAACGACCGTTGACTGTGCGAAAAAGACGAAGTTTACAGAGAAAAAAGGGGGAAGAGAATGTAAAGAGAATAGAAAGTACGTATATAGTGTAACTATATATATATATATATAAATATAATATATAAAGTAGAGAAAATTGGTAGAGAGACAGACAGAGAGAGAGAAAGGAAATATACGTATATCGCCGCGAGTTTCTAGATGGACTAGAATTTCTTATGTACGTTGTGTGCAACTCGTGCATCCGTTCTACGTTTTTTATTTTACTTTATCGCATCGTGACCGGCTGTAACGAAGCTGCAACGGACCAGCGACAGTCGTTTTCTTTGTCGCGTCACAGCCCGAGCCGCCAAAGTGATTGACAGTTAGATTATATAGACAGATATTTGACAATTACTGCAAAATTCGCTGCGCAATCATCGTATAGAGTGAGTTATCGGATGTTTCGGGGATTCTTCGACGAGAAACGGACCGCAATCGTTATTTCTGGCACGCTAGCTGTAGACTGCGACCGCCGACTACGACGTCGTCGCCTTGTCATTATAACCGTCGCAAATTAATAGCACAAAAAATACATAACGTCGTGTAAACTTTTATAACGGGAACTCCAACGATTTAATATTAACGGGCATAACGCGACGCGTTTACGAATGTTCGGCACCGTCCGCTTTAACTTCTGCGACAGACTAGAGCCTTCCGCTTCAACGTAAAATCAATAGGAATAGCAGGCGGCTAAGGACAATAGCAAAGTGGATGAATCTTTTACGCATCGTTCTTGAACCGCGCAACGACGAAAGTTTCGTTTTACCGGCTAATTACGAACCGGCAGGTGACGGATTTAGATATGGATTACGTACGAGAAAGGGGAGAGAGACTACCTACTTACGCGAGTTTCCCGCGCGAGTTACGTAAAGAGTCGCTCGTTTTAACGGCGAGTGCGGGGAAATCATATGGCGGAGTCGGAGTGTGTAAAGACGTCTTGCGAGAGAAAGTTTGGCGAAGAAAGTTTACCACGAGGTGCTTACACGTAGGTCGATTTAACATCCTGCTTAACGTCACTCGAATATCCAGAACGGTGCTTCACGGTGAGAAGAGTATACTTTAAGAGACAACAGTGTCTGGAGGGGAAGGAGCAAACCTCCCCCGGGGGTGGGAGTATCCCGAGTTCGTCGAAACATAGACATCGATCACTGGACTCGGAGAAGAGTGGTGCACACACTTTCGGGATTCCGGACGTGCCCTCCCGAGAGGGAGGAAACAAAGGGTGTTTCTGACACGTAATCTCACGAGGACTGAGAGGGGTGTAGAGCGTATATAAAGGGAAAGGGGGAGAAATCGAGCGTGAGAGAGATATCGGGCGAGGGGGAGAGGAGAGAAACAAACAGAGAGAAAGAGAGTGAGAGAATATAGAAAGAAAGAGAGATTGGCTGAGGACTGCGTGGACCACTGCTAAGTTGGTTCTGGCTGTCTGTGGAGAACTACTGTGGATGCAAGCTGTACGGGATATAAGAACGTATATATAATATATATTATGTAATAATATATGTACGCGCAAATATATGTAAAAATATATATATATGTGCTCAGGTCGAAAGCTCATCGACGCCAGGAGATAGTATCAGGAAAACTCGACTCAATCAGAAATCGGTGAATGCTGGTGGTTCTATTCTCCCTACGTATTGGTCACGACACTCGCGATCTTCTCTGAGGAACGTGGGAGGTGCACCGCGATCGGGAAAGCTGGGACAGGGCGAACGTTTCGATTCGCACGACAAATCAAGCAGATCGAAACAAATAAATCTGCACCGTTTTATGAATCCGCATCCCGATCTCCGTTCCGATCTCTCCGCTTGTACAGAGGCTGGTGTCCACGGGACACTCGTGGCACTCGTGGTTAATTCTCATTCGATTTGAAGATACGAAAAAACGTCGGCAAACCTCGTGTGATCTTTAGGGGAGGGGAATGTCTCTTGTATCTTCGAATCTAGGAGAATTACCAAAGTGTTTCCTGCAATTCTCGTCCGTACGTCTATTTCGATCACACAGCTGATCTCTCATGCAAATCCCACGGATGAAGAGATCGCGCGTCTGGTCCCAACTGTCCCCCGTCCCTCCCACATCGCCGATACTCGCGTATACGAGGGGGGAGATACGGGCGGAGAACAAGCACTAATTTGTGCGTTTACTACGGCAGGTCTCTATGTGTGTATGTGTAAGTGCGTCAACCCTATCAGTGCGTCGTTCTCGTCGAAGAGTCGTGCATGCGCGATCAGTGACGCTGGTCGAGTCGTAACGAGTTCGGATAAAACGTTTTTTTTTTCCTTTTAATCGCGTTATCGTCTCTTGTCTGCCGTTTCTCTACGTTCGGTCCTGTCACCCTAATCGCGGGGCCGATCGACCGGATCCGGTCGATCGATGCCCGCGACCGATTTCCCCTACCTGAGATAATGACATGAGATTAGACCTAGCTTCTTATCGGCGTAGACTTACACACTGAGTTTACATGTTTATAAACATATGTAGATATATAAATATGTATATATGTACATGAATTTGTGCACGTGTTGTACCTAATTGGTAAGGGACACACGGTCAGATATCGCGTCTCTGAAGGAGAGAGCGGGAGAGCGCGCCGAGTGTGTGAAAAAACCGCGGGTGGCTCTCCGCTCTTCCTTCAGCGAGAGATCGTTTCCCGCGCGCTCTCACGAGCGGCCGGTGGGCGGTCAACGATCCGTCTACTTGGACGCGTTCGATCGTTTGTTGAAGGCACTCTTATCGCACACGGTCGTCGGTTTTATCGGATCAAAAGTGCGGAGAAAAAACGCGCCGCGGGCTTTCTAACGCGATAACGGTGGAACTCAAATGAAAATGCAAACCAAGGTAGCGGTCAAAAACTGAAACAGCTCGTTGCTATCGTCGCCGTCGGTGGTAATAAGTAGAGTAGTGGTAGTAGTATACAAGTAGTAATGGTATCTGGAATTCGTACGCGCGCGCGCGTACGTTCGACGTGCGTACGAATGTCAAATGGTCGCTCGCGCATTGTTAAGGGGCTTCCCTAGTGTGACAGGGCCTAAAATGAATGATTTTTAAAAGGAAAACGACAAAGCCAATTAATGAACAACTTTTTCCACATATTTTACTATATTTCAAGAGTGCATACAAATTTTTTCAAAATTTTATATCTGTTATTAAAGCCCGTGGCAGCCATTTTTTGGAGCGCCGCGAAAAAACGGTGACCACGCGTACAGCCGTTGTAGTTATCTGAAACAAAAAAGCAAAAGAATTCTTAATCTACTTGAGTGTGGCTATCGTCTGAAGCAGAATCACGAAAAAATATTGAAAATTTAAAAAATTATAGCGATTATAATTATTTTCGTCTTTTTTAGCTATAATTGTTTAAATTTTCAATATTTTTTCATGATTCTGCTTCAGACGATAGCCGCACTCAAGTAGATTAAGAATCCTTTTGCTTTTTTGTTTCAAATAACTACAACGGCTGCAATCGTGGTCACCGTTTTTTCGCAGCGCTCCAAAAAATGGCTGCTACGGGCTTTAATAACAGATATAAAATTTTGAAAAAATTTGTATGCACTCTTGAAATATAGTAAAATATGTGGGAAAAGTTGTTCATCAATTGGCTTTGTCGTTTTCCTTTTAAAAATCATTCATTTTTAGGCCCTGTCACACTAGGGAAGTCACTTAAAAGAAAGGAAAAAATAAAGAGGAAAGAAAAAGATAGAGTCCGGAGAGTTTCTTCGTAAACTTTTAAGAGGACCGTATGTGACTCGTGTGGTCTCGCCACCTGAACTTGTTAAATTCGGGGGCGATTTTTCTTTTTGTTGGGTTTCTCATTTGTTTTTCGTGAATAGAGGAATCGAGAGAATATTGAATCTTTTTGAATGATGACTGATGAGATAATGAGAGAATGAGAAATAGAGAGACAGAGTGACAGAGAAAGATAGATAGAGAGAGAAAGAGAAAGAAAGAGAGATAGGGATAGTTACCTGTGTCTGTAGCCGTGTTAGACCACGGATCCATAGAATTTGTCCTGCGCGCGGCTTTTTATCCGAGTCGGGGTCGTATTTCTCGTCTCCTAGATTGATCGCACCGATATCATCCGGCTGGCCGCGGCCCCATCTGTTTTTGAAAAAAACATGAAACCATTTCTTCATCACTCGGATTCTTCCTGTTAACTGAATGGAATAGAGAATGGTGTGGTATACTTTTGTTTTGTTAATTTCTTTCTTTGTTCTTTGTATTGTATTTTTTTCTCGGCGGCCGAGACGGACGTTTCGCAACCGGTTCTCGTTCTTCACCGTTTTTCCGTTTTCCCCTCGCTCCTCAGCGGAAATCCCTAATCTATTACGAGGTGCTGACGCTACGCGTGACCCGATTGTGCGAGTAAAAGAATAGGTTTATCGATGATTGCGATAAGGTTTGGGCGGTGACGAGATGGTATGGTGGTCAGGTGCGTGTTTGTGCGTGTGAGGACGTGGCCGGTGAATGATTGATTCCTATCGCTCGCATGATGGAAAAATGTAAAAAAATGCGGAGTGTCTGCCAACAGGCGCGTCTGATGACGCTAAAATGATTTTCTGTTGAAAACGTACATGGTTCTTCTCTCTCAGTCGCATTCTTTGTGGAAGGGAGATACAAGTAAATAAATTTTTATTTCCTGGCTAATTCCAGATAGTACTTTCTGTGAGGGTTCAGTCGAGGAATGATCGCCAAGATATTCAACTTTAAGGGAATACAAAAAGTGTACCTAATTAATCTCTGACGGAAAAGGAAAAAAATTTTTGACGATCAAACGTTTAGCAAACACTCCGTATGGACCAGTGAACAGAGATGCATAATGGGTGCAAGAGTGCGGATATGTCATAAGCGAAAGTGTATTCTATCATAAGATATGGTGCAGGTTAATCAGTGTTGTTAATCAGTGTAAAACGTTAGAGAGGCAAAACTTTTCTCCGACCGCTGCCGATTTCAGCCTTCTATGTTACAACCAATAGCAAGCATAGAGAAGAGATGCGAGAAATGAGTGGAAAAAAGAGAACGAGAAAGAGAGAGAGAGAGAGATAAAGGAGAAGATATATAAGATAATATGCGCGCGAGATGACGGAGAGAATGCATGTTATTTTTTTCTTTGCATCCTATGTGTGTGATGAGTCAGTTTTTTCCTGGCTTTAAAATCCCCTTCGAGTGTTACTCTGCGATGAAATACAAAAAGCACTCCTCACTTTGATAAGCCACCCCGTATATACCTTCTCGGGATGCGTTATACGTTGTGTTTCCGTTTCGTTGGCTTGTGTCTTTCGCGCGTTTTACCTACGTCGGTTCGTCTCCTTTGTTAGTCTTTTTTTGTTTTGTTTTAGGATGCGTCGTCAATTTTGCGTCAGGTCATTGCCTTGGCAAAAAGCAGGTGCGATTCTCCCCTTACCTGTTGAGCGACACACAAGAGCGCGAAAAGCGCGTAGTGCCGACGCGACTACGTGTCGCCTGTCGTCGCTATTTATAGGCTCTCTCGCACAAGCTCTCTCGTGGAGAACGGCACTCGTCGATGGACGAGATGATGCGTCGGGCCGGTCCGTAAATTCACGCAGCAATTAACGTTCAACGCATGAAAAGTAAAAAAAAAAGGAATCAAAACGATTGGACGGTTGAAAGTGAAGGAATTATTTACCGTGTCTTCTTCAGACATCAGAAATGCGCGTGAACTCAGGGACCAACTCGCCGTCGTCGTCCTGGCAATGCAGGACGCGATGGATGCATGTGCAATATCATACGATATATCGGGGGAAATATGTATATCGGGTTTCTGTTCACCTACGAAACGGCATACACACATACACACTACAGCGTGAATAGCCCTGGCTGGCCCCGTTGTGTTATACTAGCGGTGTACATGCACCGTACTACATACTCGGCGGTAAAAGCCTCGCGAGAACACTCCCTGTAACCTTTGGCTAGCTGACCCTTCCGCTCGTGTAGCATTTTAGTAGTGCCCTCGACTCGCGTACACAGAGTAGCGGCAAAAAAGCGTGTATATTCTCGACTCGACGCGAGATTAACTCGCTTGCGCTTCTCTCGCCTGTTACACGGGACGAGCTTCTCGCATGCGGCGGCATTCGAACCTCTTGCGTATTAGGAGCTGTCAGCTTGAAAAAAAAAGAAAAAAAAGGAGAGAGAAAGAGAGAAAGAGAGGGGGAGAGGGAAGAGTATCGATGCCAAAGAGTAATACGAGCGAATATGTGATCGAAACTGTTATAATATTAGCGAGTTCAAATTTCAAATTCAAACGCGACAGACAACTAAAAAAGAATTTTTATCTTCTCTTTCTCAATGATGAAAATACTTTTTCCATGCATCGAAGGCTGATTCTCGCCGAAATTATGCCGGTTTCAATCGACAGGTGTAGAAGAGTAGAAAAAGTCATGTTCAACCGGGCATGATCGTGTACGTGTGTATATGCAACGGACGGGAAGGAAGAGCGAACGTGTTGAATAAGAATAAGGAAAAAGACAAAGACAACGATGTGAGGACAGGAGAAAAGAATGGGAGAGAAAGGAGAAGAGAAAGAACGCTAAGAAATTCACGTTCCAGAATCGAGTGAAAGAGCGTGTGTTAATAAGCATTATCGATCGCGCGATCGTTTCAGATTGCTTGTCATGCCGGTCTAAATTAATTATCGAATAATCGCGTTATTAAGCTAAACAAGCTTTCGTTGTTCTTTTTTTCTTTTACAGTCCGTCTCGTTGAATATTCAAGATCGTGCGCTATGCGTCGAACTCCGATTAGTGTTCGCGACAGCGTACACTCGCTGTCGCCAGTCGCTCGACACCGCTTACGCAAACAAGTACGTAGATTTCGAAGACGGCTGTAATCATGCAACGATTAAGGCCAAATTACGTACAGGTTGGAGGAGCGAGGGGATACCCGGGATCGGGTTCGTTTAAGCGTGCGCGATCATTTACATTTGATCGCGATTGTTCATGATTTACGATCGAAGAAACGACACATGATTGCTGACGATCGTAGCACTGAATAATTTTCAAAACGGAATTTCTAAAATTACGCTTCTTACGCTTTTATTCAAATCTTCGTCAAGCACTATTTACGGCTACATAACATAATAAACATAATTATGTGAGGATTGTGAGAATCCTAATCATGATTATTTTTTGTTTATTACAGAGAGATATCTATATAATTGTCTAATTAGACTGCCAATTCATAAATTTATGTATAATTTTGTAATTGTACAAGGCCAATTTGTTAATGCACTTTGTACATATAAATATAAATTTCATTAATGTTGACATTAATGAAATTTATATTTAAATTAGTTACTTTGCAATCACTTTACAGGTTCATCAAAGACTCCTGTTACTTGCGGATCAAAGTGAAATAATCACGCGAGCTTGCAAATGGGAAACAACATTCTTCGGGAATCGACATAAACTGTTACTAATCCTGTGGTATAGATATGTGTATATACTGATCAACACGAGTGAGTTCAAGATTCGGCATGCAAAGGCATCTACCGCTAATGAGACGAAAACTTATAATTAGAATACTAATTCATGTATAAGTAGATTAGATTAGATACCGTATTAGCAACTGTCTATTTACTTTAGTCATTACGATTTGAGCACAATGCTGACATGTTAATGATATTATAATCTCAATAACACAAAAGTGATTACTAAAAGACATTCATCAAAAAGCATTTTATTTTTTAATCTTCTGTATATGATTTTTATGTAGCAAAAACATCATGATGCAAAAAGTTCAGTTACATCTGAATTAATCAACGATCTATTTTCATAATTGTAATATGTATGTGTATATTCGCGCGCGGGATTAATTGTCAGAATTTTTATTATTGAAACTGACAAATTGCACGATTATCAGTCTGAAAATCTCATTCATAAATAAATCGTTTTTCTACAAAAAGGAAAGCACCCAGTGTTATGAGCAAGTGGTTTCTTCTCGTTCATTTCTCTCTTTGCAACAAACCTCGTGCTCAAAGATCAAACTAAAAACCGTGTTTTTATGTGTTTTACACGTATGTGTATGTGGATGTATATGTGTATGTGTATGTGTGTGTGAGTACGTAATTTTAACTTACGAAAGAATTTTGGGAATTCGGCGTGTAGGAATAGTCGTAACTATTTGGCCCCATATTAGCGTACCGATTCCGAAGAACAGGCACCACAACCACTGGTCTAACGTGAGCGCTCTGGTGCTGAATGCCATTTTACCGTATTGTATGATGATCACCTAAACAAAATAAACAGGCGATCCGTTCAAATAATTGTTGAAAAACTAGTTAGCCATGGTTATCTTGCAATTTATCAATGAATATAAATTTAGTTTTATGCGAATTCGGTATAAATACGCAGGGTTTAGCGACGGAATTCTATCAATGTTGTCTTTATGTCGCAATTGCACGGAACAAGAACGCTTGGTAACTTACTTGCGAGACACACGTGCCGACCCAAATCGAATAGAAGATGGGGTTGGTGAATATTCCCTGGAAGACATTGCGTTGACCATGAATTTTCCTGGCGTTGAATTCGTTGAAGAGAGTCATCATGACGAACGTGTTGAAAATGACGGTGAAGTGTTGCGTGGGTCCGCCGCCCGTCGCCGCCACTCCGCGGCCCGTGTCGATGTCGAGCATCAGGTCACCTGTGATAGCCGTTCGCGAAAGCTTTAGACCGTTAGGTTCCGCTCGACAACAATATTGAACGATAAACGTTCGACGAGATGGATTGATGAGGTGGAGAGGTCGTGGGAAGGAGAAGAGGGGGGGAAAGGAACGGTACTCACCGGCGAAAAGAAGCGAGAAAATTACGCCCAACTGATAAAAGGCCTGACCGAGAATATTTTTCATCATTGTCCTGGAAATGAGTGGTTTTGTGCGACCGTATGGTCTACGGAGGAGTAGATCGGGCGTAGGCAATTCGGTGGCCAAGGCGAGGGACGCTAACGTGTCCATGATTAGGTTTACCCACAACATCTGCACCGCCTTGAGCGGCGAGTCCTGCACGGCACAAGCACCGATGAAGGCGACAATCACGGCGACCACGTTGACGGTTAGTTGAAACTGCAGAAACTTGGCGATGCTGTCGTAAACGTTTCTGCCCCACATAACCGCTTTCACGATCGACGAGAAATTATCATCTGTCAGGATGATGTCGGACGCCTCTTTGGCGACGTCCGTGCCGGCGATACCCATGGCAAAACCGACGTCGGCCTTTTTTAAGGCCGGACCGTCGTTCGTGCCGTCACCGGTTACCGCCACGACCTCGCGACTCTCGGTTGCCTTGCTGTCAATGATGCCCTTCACCAAGGTATATTTGTCGGTGGGCGACGATCTGGCCAATACTCGCAGTTTCGGCCACACTTTGTCCAGTAAATGTTGCTGCACCTCGCCGTTGCTATCTCTGATCCTGCGGTTGAACTCCTTGCCCTCCAGAATGAGGAAGTCTTCGTTCGGCTTTAGGATACCACATTTGAGCGCGATGGACCGCGCGGTGTTTATATTGTCACCCGTAACCATGCGCACAGTGATACCGGCCTTTTGGCATTTTCTGATCGCCTCCGGTACCTCGGCACGTACCGGATCCTCGATACCGACGATGCACAGGCAGGTGAGGTTGTTCACTAGATTATCCTCGTCGTCCCAATTGGGCTCGTTGTCGATGTGAACTTGATTAATCTCCGCCTTACCAGGAACAAAATCACGATAAGCGATGGAGATGGTACGCAGCCCGTTGCATGCCATGGGTTCGATCACATTCTTCACTAGACGATCTTGCATATCTCTGGTAAACGTCTCCAGATGACCCTCGCGACCATATATAAAGGCACATCTGCAACAAGATCACAATCAGATTTCTTAATTCTTCTTTGATCTCAAAGAAAAAGAGAACTAATGTAAATCTCATATCAGTACTATGGCCCGAAAGATTTCTTTCCTTTGGAAAACGCGGTAAAGTTTTCGCACATATAAAAAATTGAGAATTGCAGAATATACTGAACCGCAAAGCGATGTGTGAAGATTAAGATAAAATTATACGTACTTCTTCATGATGATCTCGGAAGCGCCCTTGGTGAAGAGCCTGAATCCACCACCCTTTCTAGGGATAACAGTGGACATGCTCTTTCTTACGCTATTAAACGTATACACCCGCGTAAAGGTTTCCTCAGGATAGTCGTCCCGCACAGTTTGATATTTCTTGCCCAGGGCTAATACAAATCCAAGTAAGGCACATTCGGTTTTGTTGCCAACCTGCATCGGCAATTCAGTAGGTTCCGGCGGATCCATTATCCGCGACGTGTACGCCGAATCGATGGAGATGGCTTGTATGATCAGCTCGCCGACATGGCTCGGTATGTCCGAGAAATTCGGCGTCGTCTTGCACATCTTCTCACATATGTACGACTGTACCACGGTCATGCGGTTCGTGGTCAGGGTGCCGGTCTTGTCCGAGCAAATGGCGGTGGCGTTACCCATCGTCTCGCAGGCGTCCAAGTGACGCACCAGGTTGTTGTCCTTCATCATTTTCTGCACAGAGAAACGGACGGTCTCAAAGAGGAAGAAAGAACGGACGTCTCCGAAAAGTCAAGACAGGATCTGCATAGTCTCTCACCTTGACAGAATAAGCGAGCGACAAGGTGACGGCTAGAGGAAGACCCTCGGGTACAGCGACTACGAGCACCGTGACACCGATGATCAGATGCCGCACCAGATCACCGACGTATATGTTTCGCCACGGCTTGCCCTCCATGACGAAGGTCTTCACGCAGAACTGTATGATTAGAATGACGACAGTGAGCACCGCGATGGTCGAGCCGGCGTAACCGATCTGTATGGCGAGTTTAGTTAGCTTGGCTTGCAGAACACTCTTCTCTTTCTTCCCGCTCCCCTCGGCGCTCACGGGTGCGGCCGTGTGATGGTTCTCGCCGCCCTCGTGCTTGACGCCGCCACCGCCACCACCACCGCCGCCACCGCCGCCGCCGCCTCCTCCACCGCCTCCCGTCACGTGACTGTTCCCGGTAATCTCTACCGACTCCTCTCCTTGATTTACAACGCCAAGATTAGATCGTGTTCCATCGTTATATGCCAATCGAGGCTCAATCGACTCGAGCGATCAATCTCTACTCGCACCTCAGTTAAGATTCTGATCACGCCTAATCGATCGCAACGTCGACTGAGCCTTGATCGTTAAACTTAGAAAGAGTATATCCAAGTTTTTAAAAGCATTCTAATAAAATAGTGGATGCTACTCGAGTTAATGGATAGAAGTTTAATGAGAGATGATCAAGATTAAATGGTAGACACAGCAGTTACATGTTAAAAACACAGATTTAAAACCACGGGTGTTTATATCATTACTAAAATGCAGAAAACGAGAAGCTAATGCAAGAACGAGGTAGCCGCTAACGTGTCAAATGCATATAAACCACTGCCAATAGAACACGCAAAGATCAGTAGGGAACACGGAAGCGTGGACAATATAATTTCATTTTTTCTCTTACACTCGGTCCTGGACATAGCGTTTAGTAGCGAGCGATATATTGAGGTCACATCCTTTAAATAAAATGCATAGCGATCTGCCCCACCATGATTTTCATAATTTCAATTTAATATTATTATCTCGAGCAAGCAATTGCGCGCCATGTATACCAGGTCCGAGTACACTCTTAAACCGTGCTCAATGAAGACAAGGGAAACTGACTTTAATTGAATGTTGCTAATGTGATAAAATATTCCTTTATACGCGACATTAGTGTAAGGTTGTATATATAACTAATCAACGTAACACAGGAAAAAGAAAATGTATCCGAGAAACACAGAGAAATGAAGAAGATGACGTGAGAGATAAAGATAAAAAAGACTGAATGCTGCCTTGAGGATTCGATCAATTTCTTGGCATTAATAATAAACGTATATGTGTATTTATGTACACATAATTATATCGAGGTATAAATAATATGAATATATAGATGTATATATATTATTCAGAATTATTCACCTGGTAATGACTTCTTCTTCCGCTGCTTTTTAGCCTCTAGATAAAAAAATACATGCAAAACGAAATTGATTAGCAATCTATCTGAGAATATATATGCCAATGGTAATAAATCGCGTCATTAAAAGAATTTACGTATTTTGTAATTATAATTCTTTTCTTTCTTTTCTCGTTAAATTTCACAAGAGGGTACTTAACACTAACAAATGAGGTAGGTACAGCCCAGAAGGTCAAACATATAGAACCAGGCTGTTGCTTCTATGATAAATGGACAAATTCTCACTAATATAACTGTAAGAGTGCATAAGATTGCATTCCTGGGTAATACACACATGCACGCACGCACGCAAGCACGTACGCACGCACGTACATGTCAGGAAAATACAGATTCACCTTCCAGGTTGTGCAATAACGAAAAACATACAGAGGAGCATGGATCATCAAAGAAAGGAATTATGCTTTTAATATTTTATTTTCATGTATAAAATGTCCCAAAAATAGCGTACTTTTCTTAAATTACAAATACTGGGAGAAATTAGATTAAAAAGCAAGCTATCGAAGATTAAAAGCTTTCGACAAGTTTAATCTCCGAATTAAACAATTCCTCTTCTTTTTTAATAGAAATCAAATCTTGGAACTTTAATATAATATTATTAAAATACGTAAAATTTTGGTCCTTGATTTGAAAAGTACGTGACTTCTAAGACAGTTTCTATAAAAATGACTTAAGAAGATTATAGAGTAATAACAGTTTAATTAATTTTGCAATTATTGAATGTAAGACTTCATATACACATATCAGACAAAGATAAGAAAACATTATATAGCAGAAACATTATACAGCAGAAACATTTTAGCTATGTAGAGAGGGACAAAAACACAAATGACTTATGAAAGTAAGAGACATAATCAAGTAATGGTCTCTTGAAAAAATTCTAACGATAAGAGGCTTCTTCATAATGGTAAAACTATGTACATGACACTTTAATGAAGATAAATCGAAGTAATCTGCAAATATTACTCTGTTTGCCTACAGTGCCTAATACATTAATGTATATAACTGAATGGGGAAAAGAATTTTTTGTTAATGGAGGAATTGTCATAAAATAATACTGCTGCATTATTGCAGTTTTATAAGAATATTTGGTTTACTTTCTAAAAGTAGAAAGTGTTTGCTCTCGAAACGTTAACAGATCAAAACGCAGGTTCTCTATAGCCAATTAGTTAATGAGTTAATAAAAATACAAAAATCCATCTGTGTTGGCAAATGCAATGTCGAGGGTAAAAAACCAAGGAATAAAATAAATGGCTATTTGTAAAATCCGTAATAAAAAATTATCACACCAATTCACGTCAAAACCATGCGTCCACTGCGATTCGTCTACACTCATTTTGAAACATTTCGTAAATATCATGCGAGAATATAGTGGAGTACCAACAACTTCTATTAGAGGCAAGTCGGCGTAAATTCTATTCGCTACTCGAGCTACTTGTACTATGAACACGTCGTAGCACATTCATTTATTGACTTTTCAATAAAATTTTCAATAGAGTTTACTGAATGATTCAGAAGTTGCTAGTAGAGAGACAGGTGTACTAAATCATCAGAGTGAAAAGAATATGGGATATTTGATTTCGAAATTTATCTAACAAAGCCTAAGAGAATTTCAAAAAACACGTACTATATAAATATAAGAAATTACATTACTCCAAGAATTTAGTAACATCTGTATGAATGTGTAGTCATTCAAAGTCATGAATCGATCGGGAATAACGATTGCACGTACCTTTCTTCATTTTCTTGATTTCTTGCTCCTGTTGATCAACAGCAGCACCCAGTAAGGTAAAGATAATACCTGCCTGGGAGTTAACACCTACTGCAGCAACTAACATTTTTCCGGAACCCTCCATCACGTGCGTACCTTTTCAACAATATAATATATACACAAGATAGTTTTTCACGTCAAAACCATGCGTCCACTGCGATTCGTCTACACTCATTTTGAAACATTTCCCGTAAAGATCTTTGAACACTTTGAAACTTTTTTTTAACACAAGAAATAATCTAACAACACGAGGATAATTCAATCAAGGCTCTCTCTCACCTGAAAGTACCATAGGATCGAACGATTCCCCTTTCTTTACATGATCTGACTCTCCGGTCAGACTGGATTCATCCACTTTGAGATCATTGCTTTGTATAAGAATACCGTCTGCAGGCAAGAGATCTCCATATTTTACCTGTATTATCACAGTTAATTTAATATAAATTTTGCTTTCCTCTACTACACTAATGTATAGGAATTCCATGCAAAGTTAATCCGACTATTAACAGATTATTATATATTTAAAGACCGTATAAAGGATTTTATTAATGTTGCTGCATATATACCTGACAAATGTCACCCACAACAATGTCAGACACGGAGATTTGTTTTACTTCTCCTTGCCGTATAACCGAGAACTTGTGTTCTCCCTCTATCCGACTTTGAAGACCTCTAAACTGCCTCTCCTTGGAATAGTCATTAAACGCCGTCACTATGACCACCACAATTACAGAAATCAATATAGCGAGTCCTTCAATCCAACCGTATTTTGCTTCGTCCTCATCCATTGCAGCTGAAGCAGCTAAATGAAAAGAACATGTTGTAAAAATCTCTTCAAAGACTTTCTAAATCTAAAGTTCGTAAAATTTCTCTCTGCAGTTATATATATGGAGGAGTAAAAGCCACAGTGGTGTAAGTCAAATTTTTAAAAATATTTTCTCGTGTGCATAGAGATGCAATCTGTACAATATATATAAATTGCTGTGGTTTTTAACCCTCCATATATACGTATATATGATTTCAATATAAACTATGTACGGGATTTCCTTACTACACTATCTAAGTGGAAACCACTCGTAGATAAAATAGGTATGTGATATCAGATTATACTTACGTCTTTCCTCATCATCACCAGGCTGATAAAAGCTAAGACCTAATGAAACCAATGCTGCTACTTCTAAGATGATTAACGTGACATCTTGCAATGCTTCCCATACTAACTGTAAAAATGTTTTTGGTGGTTTTGGAGGTATCATATTGGAACCAAATGTATCTCGCCTATGTTGTATGTCCGCTGCTGACCCACTAAGACCTACGCAGATGACAAAAATCATGAACCTCTTGCCATACGTCTTTCTATATCATAATTCTCATTTGTCATACGATTCTAAATCTTCAGAGATTAGGAGAAAAGTTCATAAAGCTTGTCTCTCGTCGACTATCCGACCGACAATCCTATAATTGTTCAGTCGCAGCGAGATACAGCGGATGAGCCTACCTTCATTGGGTGAAGTATACAGCTTTTTACAAATCTCCTGCACACCACCGTGGCCATTGATTTTGTTGACACCTTCGCGACCCCGGAACTCCATGAGCTCGCGGAGTTGCTTAAGCGTGATACCATATTGGGCCGGCCGGCCGTCTATCGTCGCCATGATATCCCTGTTGCCCTCGTTGGCCGAAGCCAACTACTGGTACGCTTCCGCAAGGCTACCACAGCTCGTATTATTCTCTGGCGTCGCTGCTCCACTGGCCTCCAAGTGATTGGAGGGCCAACGGCTGAAACACAACAAAGACTTTCTTCAATTGTCAAGTTGACAAGGTGCAATAAGTGTTAAATGGATGTAAACACATGTTCCACGTTACATTCATACACATGTCACGTTTGATTCCATTTGTAACTTAAATTTATCGCAATGCCCACTAACTAATGGCCTTAAATTACAGCCTACTGACTACGTCGACACATCTCAGTGAAAGGAATTAAATAGTTGAATCACCGTCGCGAGGCGTGTAGCGCACATCGTTGCACGACGGCCGTGCGTGCACGACAGGCAGCAGCTCCTCGATTCCACACAGCGGTGCTCCGGGAATCGAAACGCGGACGCAATCGATACCGCGCGGCCGCGTGTCAGGACACTAAACGAATATCCGACGATGACGATGACGATGACGGCGACGAGGATAAGGGCACGCGGCTCGCAACGGACGTTCTCGTCGCTTATGCAACGCGATTATTGATTCCGGGGGTGTGCAGCGACGTCGAAAGGAGCAACATCGCTCCGCCGTGCTGGTACCTACATACACATACACACACACATTTATACGCATACGCGCGCACACCACGTCGACCCTACCGCGGCGCTTCGTGCTAAATGTCAAACTCCTTTAACCCGGCGCCCGAGCAGACGCGCTCCCGTGTCACGGAGAGGAGTCGGCGAGATCTCGCAGCGAGATCACGAGGCACACTCGCGCTCCCGCGCGCGCGCGCACCCTCGCGCGCGTTAATCCCCGAGGTCGGTTAACCCTCTCCCCCGAGTTAAAGAGCCGAGTGCACTCGCCCCGTCCTCTCCGTCAGGTGGAGCGGAACCCCCTCTGCCCCTCTCCGTCAAGCTGGAGCGCCGCTCCGAGATTGAGGTTATGCGCGCCTCGACAGCAGACGAGGTTGTGGGGAATGTGGGGTTGTGCGCGACTCGCCTCGCGAAGCGAGCGGGCGGGCGGGCGGCAGCGGCGCGGGCAGCGACGTGAAGGTTGGCGCGGATCGCGGATCGCCGCGCGCGGAGTCCGGAGGTGAGACCCGGGGGTGAAAACGAATGCCGCGAACGCGGCCGCTGACGGAACGGAAAATACCGCTAACGGGACGGAGCTGTCACTCGCTCGCTCGCTCGCTCGATAGGAATACAAACACGGTGTTCTAAAAATAACGACGCGGGTCGGACAGAAAGGGAGCGGGCGAGAGAGAGAGAGAAAGATAGACAGAGGAGAGAAGGGAGGGAGGGTGAGGCGCGTTTACCTCCTGATGGTTCCCTCTTCGTGCGCACGTATTCGGAGAAAATCGACGAAAACAAACCGGCCGGGCGACCACCCGTTTTTTAAGGCCGACCCCGTCACAATTTCATGATTTCCCGTGAGTGACGTATATCGGGAGGATAGGCTTTATCGTCGCGCAGGCAGGCAGGCAGGCAGGCAGGCGTGCGGTGGCGGGCGGTACATCCAGCAACGTGTGTGAAGCTAGGTCCCGATCGCGCCGCAGAGAGGCGAGTGTTAAGTGAAATTAGCCATTAGCGGAGTAATAATCTAGTAATAATCGATTCGTGTTGCCCTCTAGTAGATCGCGAGCGTAACTCCTTTGTCTCACTCACACACACTCTCTCTCTCTATCTATCTCTTTTTCCATTCCCTCTCCTCTTTGTCTAGGAATCCGCGGTTTTATCTTGAATCGCGGATTCGCGCGGCAACTTCGAGTCTTTCACTTCCGGTCGCCGTTTCCGGCGTTCAAAACAATAGAAGCGCGCCCGGACTTTTTCGGGCGGAAAAAAGAGACTTCAAACGCGGAAACCGCGCGAAAGAAGAGTGATCTCTTTGTAAAATAAAAGATCAATTCCGTTCCGAGGGAGAAACGATGACGAGTACACAAACGACGGGAGTACACGGAAATTTAATCCGTTCGGTAAAAGCCCTCCGGGGTCCGCGCCGCGACGAAAGATCAACGGCGGGACAATTGGAGACGTCGGGACGCCTGGCGTCGTCGTCGAGACGCGACGCGGCGACGCGTTCTACACGCACAAGATGGTCCGAGTCGTTCGCGGGCGGTTCACGTAGGCTGCATTCGAAAAGCGCGCTATTAGCGCGCTATTGCATCATTCTGTCTTTATCGCTCATCAGGTGTAAAACAAGGATAGAACAAGCAAATAGCGCTAATAGCGCGCTCCCCGAATCCAGCCGTAATCCTCATCCCCGGCGCGCTATTTCGTACCGTATATGATATAATTGACAGACGTGCCGATCTTCCGCGTGGAGTACGCGTCGCCGCGTCGCGTCGCGACGACGCGTCCTCCATGCACAAGATAGTCCGGCTCGTATGTACGCGAGCGGTTCACGTAATCCTCATCCCCGGCGCGCTATTTCGAACCGTATGATAATCAACAGACGTGCCGGATTCCTTTCGCGACGCCGCCGCCGCGCCGCGCGCCGGCGAAGGCGTTCGAGCGCTCTCGCAACTCCTTCCGTCGTGATGTCCTAACTGTGACGTCAAACGACCGAAGGTTGCGAGGGAACGGCAGAAAATAAAAGAGAAAAAGAAAAAAATTAACGCGACGGGAATAATGACATAATGAGGCGTCCCAGGTAGAACAGAAAGTCCTAATGAAGTCAAAATGATGGTAAATGACCTAAAAATCGTCATGACCTTATTGTGACTTGCCGTTTTCTACCTGGGATAAAGGGCGACACGCTCGTGCCGGATACGTTCCGGTTGAGACCGAAATTCGTTTCACCTCGGGCGACCGGATGGCGCGATCCGAGGGACCAAAAGCTTCTCCGCATCGATCCCGAAACGAAATTGCGTAAGGAGAACCAATTTCCCGTTCGCTAACGTTTCCGTCGCTTTTCATTAAAACGGGCGTCGGGCATTTGGCGCGCGCGGGCGCACGCACGCACATACATACACTACACGGACCACGCGTAATTACATTTCGCCGCGCGCATTTCGAGCCGCGAAACCGCGCTAGGGCGACTTTTATAGCGCGATCTCATGACTTGAAATACTTCCAAAATGCATCGCCCCTCGGTCACCAAGCGTTTTCCTTCCCCCTCCCACTCTCTGTAAAAAAAAACCAAGTTTTCTTTCGAGTTTCGCTTTGAACCGCGCCGAAGGGGTTTTGAAGGGGTTAAACAGAAAATAATCAGCCGTCGAAGCCAAGATCGATACTAACTCGGCAGCCTTGCACCGTAATAATAATGATAACAGATAACGGTCGCACGCCAACAGATGCCAGGTGAAAAAATAAGATTTGTCACGTTGCACGTGAAAAAATGTATTTCATCGTGTCCTCGGCGCGACCAAATCAGCGTGTTATCCAATACGTGCACTGTTAAGTGTTAAAGGATGAAATTTTTAAACCAAATACTCTCTAAACCTAAATCAGAGAAACGTCATTGAAGTGGCATACTTTAGACTGATATCAGTGAATAGACACTGATATCATAGTATAAAGTATGCCATTTCAGACTTTTCACTGATTCAGATTTAGAGAGTACCTTGAGTTAAATGACTTTGAATTTTGTTATTTTTAACTACCATGTGTGTTGAAATTTATTATTTTAACACAAAACAGTATTATTTTAATTTCATTGGTTTAGTTAAATTAACGACTGAGTACAAGCAGTGGCGATCTATAGGAATGGTAAAAAATGACTCAATTTGAATACAATTTGACGCTACGAATTTAACAGTAGACACGCGGCCGGCTCGAAGACCTCTTACGCGTACGATTCGATCATCCGATGACGTTCGTGTCCTACCTTTCTCCGTTACGCGTGTTCGCTCACACACAATGTCTACGTTTACACGTCATCATTAATCGGGTTTGGTAACATCTCTACAATGTTAAATTTAAACCAAATACCTTGAGTTAGATAACATTTTGTTATTTTTGACCACCATCTGTGTGCCGAAATTTATTATTTTAACACAAAACAGTACTATTTTAACTCCATCGGTTAGTTAAATTAACGACATATTGAGTAGGAGTAGTGGCGACCATATAGGAAAGGTTAAAAATTGAGTATAATTTGATCCAATTTGGCCCTACGAATTTAAAAGCGTAATAGTCATAACTTCTTAAAACGCTGTTCTCGTTTGCACAAGAAGATGTTATTTTATTCCCCATTCGAAAAGATCTTGAAACCTCGTCTTGAGATCTCGTCAGAGAAATACAGCAGATACACTTTTCATAATTTTATCATAAGTTGGCGATGCAAATCATAACAACTCGCTTAGCGTTTACATGTTTCTTTAAAATCGCGGGATTTACAAGTCTGCATCTCTTCGTCAACGAGTGTATAATACAATAACAACTGGCGTTATAAACCCGGATTTAACTGGCGTTTATAAAACATTTTACGCGTCAGTAAGTAATAACTATTTAATATTATCAAATCCGATTAAAACGATGACGTGTAAACGTAGCCGATGCGATATGCTATAAATACACGGGATCCGCGATCGCGAAAAGGCTACCGGAGGATCGTCTCAGGGTTATCTCTCGCGCGGCCGCGACGACGATGGCATTTCGCGCTGGAGGAAAACGACGAGAGACACGAGACGCCCGGGTCCCGGGAGAGGACCGGTCGTCGCTGCTGGCGTTGTTTCAGCGCCGAGTGACCGCGGCCACGGGAGCGTATCGTCATTAATGCGCCTGCCGAGCTGCGGCGCGCGGCGGGGGGGAATGCGGAGGTCGCGAAATGATGTCACCGCTTACGCACGTTCATCGAATTAGACCCCGCGCGATTTTATTATCCGCGCAGACGGCTCTTAGCTAAACGAGTTTAATCGCTTTTGCATGAGCCGCTCTCATTATTCACCCGCGTACCCAGGCCGTCACGTAACGTTAATCCCGTCCGGGGCGCGACGCCGTTCCTTTTTATTAACTGCACCCGCCGCCGGCGTCGTCGGGTAAGATGAGAAATGTCCCGTCAAACGTCAGATCCGTAAGACCGCCGGAAATTCAACGTTCGCGCGTGTGCGCCGAAGCTCGGAAGTATACATTTCGCGAATATTAATGCGACGACGAAAAGTATTAAAGAAACTCCGAGATGTGCACGGAGAAGTGCCCGGATTCGCGTCTCTCGTCTCGTTCATCGTCAAATCCAATTCGTCGGTCGTCTTCCTTTGCGATAAAAGTTGCAAAATGTCAAGTTGCAAGTTTATGTTACTCCTCCGAAGATGTAGATGTATAGACTTATGAAGGACTCCCAGCAGTTTCGCAGCAGAAATTCTGTCAAATTGACCTCGCGATATTAGTCGACTAGATGAATAATAATTGTCTGATTAAAACAAAATTCATAATATACACGATATATAACTGAATATATTTTAATATATTTTACGATGCTATTTAATATATTGAAATATATTTAATTGCATTATGAGATGATCATTGATATATGTTATGAGATACTTCTAATTTGCTATAGAATATTCATTTCGAGGTAAAGAAATTTGAGAAAGAAATAAACGAGCTTCGGGAATCCGGTCGCGTTGGTC